GGCTGCGTGTTATCACAAATTAATTACTGTCTTCCTACCATCTTTAAAATAAATACATCTCTAAATACTGTTGGTTTCATTATATATAGTATATATTTTGGACTGTATATATATAATACGTTGTGTATGTGTACTGTATATATATATATATATATATATATATAAATAATTCTACACTCTATCGTCGTCGAGGAAAATCGTGACAATGATCATTACCTTTAGTAAATCCTTATTGCAATGCTGGCGGATGAGGAGGGCTGGGGCGCAGTGGTAAAAAAAAATCATTGTTACCTGCATGTAAACTACCCAACTTTTTAAATATCTAATATCCGTATTGAGGTTGTCGGTAAGAGATTGCCATGAGCGATAAGACCGCCGATTGTTACGTCTAAATATTTGTAAGTATCTTATGTGTTAACTGTATACAATAAAGATATAAATAAATAAATAATATATTATATCCTAAGTTGATTTATTTAAATACTATTTTAACTTAACCGACATCGAAGATGCGATAAGACAAAGGCATAATTGCACTCTTTGTAATTTTACAGGAGAGCCATTTTTATTTCAATTAGATAATTTCTTATAATTATACTTATATTTAGTTAATTTCAATAAGAGAAGTATTTATTTCTATGTATTAGGGGGTATTTTTAGATATCTTTGATTTATTAAAAACTACGTTTTTAAAATCTGTCATTATCTTATATCTATCGAATCTTATATCGAAGATGCGGTATGTGACATAGAGAATGATTAGGTGTTTCTCATATACACCTCATATCCACACATTTCTTTCAGTACCAAGGTTAAAAACTTTAGGATGAATTTAGATTGTAGATTTTCCTCAGCCGCAAAAGCTTCTTCCCAAATTTCAAAGTTTTCAGGATGCAACCCCACTACTCAATATCCACTTCCCCTTTTTTTTTTGAAGTGGTGGAATTTTCTTCTGAAAATCGCTTCAATAACGGGTCACGTCTTAATGCGATCCAGATAGTGGCAGTAGGCACAAATTTCATTATTTTTTCATTCCTATCCATTTTTCTCCATTCAAAACATTCTTACATTAATTAATCATGGAGTCCATCACGATAACAAAAAAATTATACAAACAACTTAATTCAAATAAACATTAAAGAACATGACATGTAGGTCGGCATTTTGTGCGTCAGTTCGGTCAGAGAACGGCGCGTGACAGTCAGTGGGCCAAGATATGAAGTAATGCCAGGCGGCAGGTAATACAACTTGTAAGTATTGAGAACATTGCTGGCTAAAACACAGTAAATATTTACTGTACTTATTTTGATCTGAATTAGTTTGGTCATGTAGGTTGTCGTCAAAACATTTGTAACAAACAAATACTCACCTCTTCAAATTAGTAGCACCAAACATCAGGGCGAAATCTGAACGAAGCACAAACTTCTTCTTAAATCTCATTGTCTACCGATGACAACGGTTGTAGTCGTGTTCTGGCCCTAGTTCATCAATCTGATGTATGTATTTATTACGAGTATTGTTTATGGTCTACCAAAGAAACGATCGCTTCGACCAATTGCTAGTAACACGTATTGTCTCCAATCTGTGTTAGAAGCAAAGAAGCAAAAAGAGCAATGCTCCGGATATATTGGGTCGGCTCGACCGAAGTTATTACACGTCGTATACTTATTATTTGTTTACTACTGACTACCGCCGCCCATGGACACGTGCAACTCTAAAATCACAAGTACGGTGCTGCCCGTTCGGGCCCTCCCCCCAGCATCAGTGGGAGGGGGTTTTGAGCTCTGATAACCTCACTCACTCGGTAAAAGCAACGAAAGACTTGCTTGACGCTGCCATAAGTGACTACCGACAAATATCTGAAACTCAAGAGTTACAAGTGTGCTGCCGCTCCTTGAGCCTCCCCCTCCAGAACTAGAGTGACCCCAAACCTTCCCCCCCCCCCCGGGTTTGGCCCCGGTAACCTCACTTACTCTGTCTGGCAGGATCACACCGCAGTATCATTTGGTGGTCAGGCTTTACACATTTTCTCGTTCTTGTAACAGTTTTATTTTCAGTGGATCGCAGTTGTCCACTAAGATCACTGTCATGATCAATTTATAGGATAGAAAGTATCAGCAAGCAAAAATGTTAAATTGTAATTTATTTATTTATTTATTTATTTATTAGTTGAGGTCTACCAACAATTGTTAACATTTAAACTTATTCTAGTTGCATGCGAAAATACAAAACTTAATGTTACAATTACTTAAAGGTAAACACCGCATTTAAAATATTATAAAAAATACAGACAGTAAGCCATATAATTTAATTCGTAAATGTAGACATTCTTATAATTACAATTTCAGCCAGTTTAATCTATCAATAGATACACTATGTAAAATCAGGTAAGTTCAAAAGTGTTGATTTAACTTTTGCCACAGAGTCAAAGTGAAGATCGATTTTATTGCTATACCCATTAATTGATTTACACAATCTTGAGCATGGAGAGCTGGCACCTAGAACAGTCCTTTTAAGTGGTGGAACAAGTGGTGTAATAGAATAGCGCGGCATCCTAGCCGGAACGCGCAGCTTGATTGAACTTATAAGTTGTGGACAGTCTATCTTAAATGCAAATACTTTGCAGGCAAATGACTGCAAAACATTGTGTTCATTAGTTCTAGTCTAGAGACTTAATGTTTTTGGAACGAAGTTCCTCATCGCACGTTACATCGGCTTTGAGCGGATAGGAGCTAGACCGAAAAATGTATAACAAGACTTTTTTCCGACGCTTTTTTTGCTTTTTTTGACCAATAGAGACAGTGATTTAAGAAAAAGGTTTATATGTATAAAACATTCATATTATAGTAGAGAGAATCCGAAATTTTCAAAGATTTGTGATACAAAACATGTTTTTATGCGCTTACTTTGCAAACGCTGGCTAAAATGGCATTACGAGATAGACCAAAATAATGTACTATGGTGTCGTATTTCTTAAAAAGATCTACAAAAAAGTCCGAGATGATGTATCGTCGCCCTAGTGCTTATTTGTTCTATCGACCAATTTATCAAAAAATAACTTTAAATGCAATGTTAAGACTAAAATTTACCTTTTTGGATAAAGAAGTTTTAAAACTTTTTGCTTTTAAAACAACAAAAAAACCATTTGAATTTTATTTGTGATACGATACCGTAATGAAAATTTTGTGCTTATTTGTACTATATCCAGTTTTTGTTCTATGTCCTACGTTGTAAGAGATATTGAGTACTTGAGTGTTCTATGTCCACTCAATCGACCAATCACAGCCCACGAAGCCATGTCCGCCATTTTGTATAATTTGATACCGTAGCTAGCGATATCACGACTGACTCTGAAAATATTGATAAAATAATTTGATTTATTGTTTTATGCTCAGATATTCTGTAGCCAAGTACCTAATTGTGTCTGGAAATATTACAAGAGTAAAAATAAACAGACGCAAGCTCTAACTGAGGAGTGAGTACTTTTTAAACAGGATTTTTATTGTTTTCTTGCATCGCACGGTGATGTTCAAAAAAATTTTATTGTCTTCCGTGTTCTCACACTAACGTATACAACAACAATATATTTTATAGCAAAAAATATTTATCCAAGTCAGCAGCCTAGCTGCCCATGGTCTCCACCGCCACAGGAACGAAGTGGTAATGCTGCCCCAAAGCTGCGCATTTTTGCCTCTTTTTGAAAGTCTTTCGCAGCTGCCGACGAGGAGTGAACGGACGGAACGGCGACTCAGATGCCTAATGGGGACAGTGCTGACACAAGTGGCGTCCCGGATCCGGCACATGCCGTTCTTCCAGTGCACCACCGTCGGTTCTGTTAAAACCCTGGGGCTCAAGCACACACGGGATATTGGATAAAATGCTTCCCGAGCATCAACGACACCTCAGAGCACGATAGACATAGAACTGCAGGTACACACATGGCATTCACAAACCTTGCAGCCCAGGCGGAGAGCAACGGCCACGTGCAGAGAATTTACCACATTTTGCAACACCGTGCGCAGACGCCAGAAAAGCCGGGAGACTCACATTCCGAGCACAACGCACCCCCACACTGGTTCGGGTGACCCGCCTGACTCCACTGTTTCTCATCCATGGTAACGTTAAGCGCGGATTCTACGACCGACTTCAGGGCTTTGTCAAATGACAATACTTCCTCGGGGTAAAGCCAAGTAGGGGTGCAGCAGGTAATTAATTTTCAGGAGGGCGAAGAACATGCGCAACAGGACAATCGCAACATGAGCAGAAAGTTCTTTAAAACGTTCTTGTATGGTAAGGAGAAGATGTATCCTGGAGGTTATGGCCTCATAAACTGCGCTAAGAAAAATGGGAGAACCTATTAGGATAAATTCCATAGGAAATAGTTATTTGAGGCTAGGTAAAATAGTATTTAAGCGAGAGAAGTGTATACGAGCACCGACGCTAAAGGAAAAAACCTTAGTAAATTATTTGTATTGATTTTACACACAATAATATTTGTGTATACATTGTGTATTTTTTTAAATACAATATTTATATAATATTTTGAAAGTGTAAATACTTTTTCTTTTTATTTAATAAAATATTTTTTTTCTGAACTTTCAGTTTTGGCGTGTGTGAATTGCACTCGCACACTTTTTATTTTTATTTCATCCCTTACGATTTTTTATCTTGATAAAAGCCCATTTCTTTTTCGGTATGCCTGATAATGTATTATGTAGAACCTACCTCGGTTCTCTTCACGCGATTATCACCAAATCCTAGGTAGGTAAAATATGAACATGTAAACATTTCTTCTCTCACTCGCGTCTTTTATGTTCGAAGGGTAGGCCGACGCATATAAAATGCCTACTTTTTGCCCACTTTACTTTTTCTTTTTCTTTCTTAAGTCTGTCATTGTACAAAATGCAATAATAGGTACTAGATGTTATTCATCTAATCCTTAGTGCTCACATCATCATAATTTAAAGATTGTTTATTGGTTTCCTTGCAGTTACTACAAGATGGGTTCAGTAACACCTCTGAAAACGGATTGCGCGGTGTCCGGGACCTTTCATTTCATCCTCTACTTGTCACGGCTGGCCGGTACTTCTCCTGTCAAGTTCGAGAAAGTGAACGGTGTTTGGCGAATTCGTGTATCCATGGTCGCCCATGCTTATTGCGTTGTAGTCCAGACTATTTTATGTAATATAATCTTTTGATCAGCATCTTTATATCATCTTAGCTTGATAAAGTTAAACGTGCCTAACTTGTCCATTTTTTTTATATTAGATAGTCTGTCCCCCGCAGACGAGCAGACGTGACCACCTGATGGAAAGTGACCATCGCAGCCCATGAACGTCTGCAACTCAGGATTCATAAACGCGTTGCCGGCCTTTTAGGAAGGAGTACGCTCTTTTCTTGAAGGTTTAAAGTTCATATCGGTTCGGAAATACCGCAGACGCTAAGCCGTTCCACAGGTTGCTTGTGCGGAACTAAAAGTGTCTCAGAAAGCGCACAGTAGTGGAGCGCCAACTATTCAGGAGACGAGAATAAAAATTTGCCGTGTGGAAAGATGTCTTAAAGTTGCGGCTGGTATTAGTCCGAACAATTTCTCGGAGCACTCTCCATGATATATGCGATAGAGAATGCAGAGTGAAGCCACATCTCGTTCGTTGGATGCGGTCCAGAGGGAAAAGCGGGTACTGCGGTGCCCCTGCATAGAGATGTGAACAGTATTCCATATGCGGCCGGACTTGCGCCTTATAGAGCTGAAGGCGGTGGGCCGGAGTGAAATACTGCCTCGACCTGTTCAGCACACCGAACTTCTTCGAGACCAATTTGATCTTACCCTCTAAGTGACCCCGAAACTGGACTTCGGTCGATATTTTGATGCCTAGGATTCCGATGCTAGCTGAGGCAGTTAGAGAGGTGCTCTCAAAACGAGGTGATACGACAAATGGTATCTCCTTTGCGGTCAACGCACAGACTTGTGTTAGATTCGATTTTCACCGCACAATTCTCTCGGTTGGTCTCGAACGCCTGTGCCCAAATAATGTCCTTTTATGCCCTAAATTTAAAACTATGTAGTTTTCTTCACACCACTTCAACACCTTTCGTAGTAGTGGTTAAAAGTTCAAAGATTCTACACGCTTATGTCTAGAAATTTAGATATTTAAGCAAAATACACATTATGTATAGAGAAAGGGCAGCACTATCAACAGTTTTGTTTTGTTTGTTGGATAATATATTAATATTTCGATACATTTTTCAGTGACATTAACATCGATCTACTCGTTAGATCGTGACAAAGTAGTGGACGGGTACGAGTCCTCCAACAACACTGGGTTCATGCGCATAGCGCTGATTATTCACCTGTTGGTGCATTACGCGGTCGGCGGCGCCATCACTGCCACTGGCCTCAATCGCATGCGCCACATGATTGACTGCACGGCGCGTCTTCAAGAGGTAACACTTATCTTTCTAACCTTGGTAGAATGAATAACCTTTTATGACCTAATACAATTTCCATCTTTTCTTCGCTCGTGCCGGGCATTTTCCGTACAAATAATTATCTTTACCACATTTTTCTTATTCCTTCTAATCACATGTTCAAATCTTAATAAACTGTTCTACTTAACGTCCCACCTACTGTTGCTATTTTTACATCCAATCTCACCTGATCCGTTCCATTTATATCTCAATTTCGCTTTTCAGTAATCATAAATAACGGGCTGCTATACATCACCGTTTTACTTTTGACGCTTTAGTAAATACAGGCTCACCACAGTGTCCTCTTGTTTCAATTTAGTCATTTTTTCACATTTGCTGATGATCATCAATCTTTCGCAGATCTACATGGGTGAAGTTAAACGTGACACGGAATTAGGTATTCAAAAAGTAGTAACTGACAGTAACAGGTTAGCAGGTGTTGCATGTGTTTCCTACTGTAAGGGACTTCATAGATTCACTAATGCTTTAAAAAAAGCTTATGCGTCAGTGGTGTAGTGGCGAATACTAAGGGTGATTTGCACATGATGTTATCGTGTGATTTACTGATTAAATTTTAGAACCCCATAGTCTGGGTGCAGAAAAAGACACACATGCAATGTAATGTTGCCAAGAAATATCTAAGTTGATTTATTATATCTATGTACATTACCGCGAGTGATGCCGTTGGCAAATACAAGTTAAGTTTACCCTGAATGTGAGTTACATTACCCTAATATGGCATGTGCTAGGGGACAGTTCCTTTCGATGTGCACTCAATCGTTCATAATTTCTGAGTTACACTTAACAAAGATAAACTATAATTTACAGATAAATGCTGAAATCGATCACCTATTTGAACCAGCTAAATCCAATGAGATAACACTGTTTTTTTCAATTATTTTTTCTATGCTGTTTGGATACTATGCTACATCTTATGATTATGGCGTATATCTCTCGGACATAATATCTGCAGATGCGACAGGTATGCACACTACCACATCACACTCTCCTACACATTAAACTGCAGCTAATAGACGTTGTTCTCAGAATGAGTTTGATACAAACATATGATACTGCACGGATGACGTAATGGTTTAAGCGGTCACCTCGCCGCTTACTACTACGCTGTGTTGTGGGTCCGATCACCACATAGGACGACACACTTTGTGATCCACAAATTGTTGTTCTGAGTCTTTGTGTTCTTTATGTCATGTATCGTTTCATGTATGTTTGTAAAGTCCCACTCGACACAGGCTATATTCCTAATGTCATTGTAACACGGTGCCAGCGCCGGTGTCAAGTTACTTATAGGTAGTATTAATGTAAATAACGTTGCAACTTGAGAGACACACACTGAGCCCAGGCTTATATGTCATTATTGTGACTGGAAATTCTTAAGCTGCAGTAAGTTCGCCATGTCCTTCTTCAAATGTATAACTGTTTTTTTTTAAATCAAATTAGAGGTATCGAATGTTGTAGCTTAACTAATTATAGTTTGAATATGAAAGAAAAATTGTTTATATTTGTTTCTTCCTTCTGCTTTAAGTAGTTAATTGATCATAAACGAAACATATTGTTAGGTGTACAGAAAAGCATTTAGGGTCATCCAAACAAAAATCACCGTATTCACGAAATAGAAAATAACTTCAACAACTAATCATGAACGAAACCGTAGTCATTACATCAAACTTCAGTCAAACAAAACATATTAATGCAAACGTTTTTTTCCAGTCACGTACCCGTCGATTGCATTCGTTGCCGTTTTTCTATGCTTACTACAGATACAACTATACTCGACACAGTTCTGGGCGGTCATCATGCACCTGGTGTCGACTCAGAAACGGCTAAACAATTGCTTGAGGAGCGTACTCGAGGAGTTAAAAAAACATTGTTGGTTCATTTTTATTATTCTTTCACGTTCTCTTTTTTTCTCTCATTTGAACTAACCTAGGTGACTGTACAGTTTTCCTCGCTACAAAAATGATTACAAAAATAAAGTTAGAGTCAGCATAATACAGTCAAATATTGAGTTCTTCATCCTCAAAGTTAAATACAACACCCTATTTCCAGCTTCAGAATCGTCTTCAACACAACAATCATTTCTATATGAACAAGTCATGCAAGGAATTGAATTAAAAGGACTCGATCCAATACCTAACCACATGATCACATGTGTCATCGATTTATTGCCGGTCGTAAACGAAGGTACGGAACTGAACAGTAACAGCAAGCTATATTTGCATTGTCACCGTCTGTTGGTACGAGTATTACATGTAAATAGATAAAGATAAAGGACAGTTTTGGGATCCAACTCATTATGCAGAGTTATTTAATGCTAAAGTCGTTTAATCCATATAAATACCGATTCTATGGAAGGCCATTATTATTAAGAACTTACCGGGTGACCATTTTAAATAATTTTTCATACACTAATTTACTGGCAATCTCATGTTTAGTGAATTATTTTGTTTCAAAAATTTTTAGGTGTATTATTGTAATTGTCTGTAACTAATTTCATCATTTGGTCTGTGACTTTCTTGCCATTGATTTTTTATGATGTACTATTATTAATGAACTTGAACCTGAACTGTTTAAATGTTATGTTTTTTTTTAAGTTTCAGAGAGCTGTGTTTGCCATTTCTCTGTTTCAGGCTTAAAAACCGATCCAGGTACATTGGATAGGTTCATAGATATGTACTGTTCCTTGTGCGGGATGATAAGACAGTTGAATGACAGCAACGGCCTTGCTCTGTTAACGATGCTCATGTTTCTAGGCACTTATATGATGACTGCGCCATACTTTGTAGTAGCAACATTATGTGAGTAACTCTTTTCACGTACACTGTAATTTATTTTTGAACGATAGTTATACATTAAGATCTAGACCTTACAAAGAAACCAAACCGCATATTCGAGCAAATTATTTTGTGCATTTTAAGTGTCTGGGGAATAACTAAAGGATTTACGGTTCTACTCACATGTCACGGACCCATCCGTCACATTAACTAGTGGTTGTCCGAGCCCAACTAAGATCGGACATCCACTAGATAATGTGACGGATGGGTCCGCGACATGTGAGTAGAACCGTAAATCCTTTAGTTATTCTTTTACTTGAATTATTTTACAACAAGTAAAACATGTATACACAGAATTCGATTATATGTTTAATTACAAGCTGTTTCAGTTTAATTTATTATTAATAATGAAAATATGAGAACAGATATAAGTAGTCGTTAAAATACCAGTAGAAGCTAAAATTTAAAATTTGAACAAAATGAATTTGGAACGACTTCTTCAGCTTAAATAAGTTATAGTTCCAAATTGACTTTGTTCCACTCACATGAGATACTCGTAGGAGCGGCACAACTTGATACCTACACTTTGTTGCAGTTCGGATGAACACTAAGTTGCCCGCTGTTAGATCACTCACTGTGTTATCGTGGTGTCTACTGTGTATTACTGTGCTTGCGATGTCTGCCGAACCTTGTCACCGAAGTCATATTCAGGTAAGTTCTAATAATCGTATTTTAATTTAGAAAATCGGTGTAAATAGTTAAAAACTCTATTATTGTCTATTATTATATATTTGTTTACGCAAGGCAAAAAGTTTCTTCAAAAGCACACATGATGTTGTGCCAATTTTCTAAATTTTGTCTGCTGCTATTTTCTCAGAGACGAGAACAGTAGTCCATTTGTAGCGGAATCTGTGCTACACAAATTTATAAGCGGTGGGCCAGAGTGAAATGTTGTCTAATCTGTCTGTTTAGTACACAAAGCTTTTTTGAGGTAAATTTGGATTTATCTTCTAAGTAAATACGAAACTGGACTTCGCTCTACATATCTGCGCCAAGGTTTCCGATGCTGTGGCGTTAGGGAAAAGCTCTTAAAGCGAGGTTATATCATGAATGGTGTGCTTTTAGGGTTGAACGCCCAGACAGCCCAGGGAAGTTAAATTAACCCAGATAATGTCGATAAAAAGGCATCATCATTTTTTTATGGATAAATTATTAAAAGTTGAGTAAAATAACACAAACACGTGCAAGAACCAATAAAATATCTCTCGAAATGAAAAAAATATGGCCAAGTGTCAATAACATTGTTAAAGTGGGAATTTAACTTGGATTTGTCAATAGCTTGTGGGCTTGTTTTATGTTTCTGAGAAAATCTGACTGTTGAGTAACTGTTGCAGTATTTTTTTTCTGTTCAGTTGTGGGTGACGAAGAGACTGGTCCGACGGATGAGGCGTTACACTCGCAGGGAAACCGCTGAACTTGCGAACAAACTCAAAGTATTTAACAGACACATAGAGCTCAACCCCGTCCGCTTTGCTCCGCTCAAGTTGTTGACATTTAACAGAGGTCTACTAATTGCGGTAAATTTTAACCTTTTAATCTGTCTAAACAATTTGTTCAATAACCCAGGACGGACGTACGCCACGACGCAGCGACGGCGATGGCCGAGTTGCCCCCATATTTTAAATCTCTAATATCTACTAAGATAGTACAGACTGTAATGACATGCTGTAAAAGGCAATTTTAATCTACATTAAATGCACAATTTATGAAACGTATTTATTTGGATAATGCATAATACTGTATTGTTCAAAATAGCTTCGTAATTTACGCATTATTTTGCGCGATTGTGCGTTATCTTTAGGAGATAGATATATGCCATCACGGACTTTTTGTAGATGTTTTTAAAATGTACAATTCCGTAGTACATTATTTTTATCTTTGTTTGCAATGTAAGCGCACTAAAATATGTTTTTTATGAAAAATCTTTGAAATTCTCATATTTTCTCTAATATAAAATGCACGAATATTATACATATAAACTTCCTCGCGATAATCGCATTAAAATCCCTTGCTTAGTGTAAAATATTTAAGCATACAGGGAAAAAATACTTTATTAACAAACTTTTATTTGCTCGGTATGTATGTATGGATGTACCTTTGTAACGGAATCTTTGATTGCGATTTTGACCCACTTTGACTTACTTGAAACTACTCAAGGACCGATAACAATACAATAATCTGATAAATTTGGCCGATTATCCTGATTAACGGCTTTTTCCATACCTAAACCTACCTACCAACTTTTTTTAGTCTGAATGAGAAAAAATCATAGTGTCAAAAAAAGCAAAAATAAATTATAGTTTAAATAACTAAAAAACACGCTTTTGTAACCAGACGAACTAAAAAGTGCAAAATAATTTTCGTCGTTAATCATTTTGCAGAATTGAAAAGCTCGCAAGTTAAAATAAACAGAGTATATTTATTGATATGTAATTAACCAATACGGGAGTTAACGCTATCAGTACATATTATAGTTTCTGAAGTCGAAACGAATAATAAACCTGGTTGGAAAAGCGTTACAATAACAATTACTATTAACTAACGTAGTATAAATAACCAGTAAGTAAATAGAGTCCATGAAGCGATTGGCATGTTTAAAAACATTTCCAGGATAAATCTAAAGAGACTCTAAAGTACGACATAATATTGAAAATTTATATC